CTACACGCTCTTTCTGGCACCATTTTCTTTCCACAATGTATCCGCTCTTTTTAACATGTTTCTTCAAATAATTGGTCCCCCTGTTTCGATAAAAACAACAGCAACACAAGAAGAAATGGACTGCTGGGCTCAAATATCAAAAGTTTGCACTTTATTCTGGAGTCTGATTTCGGTACTTTGTCTGTGGAGACTAATTTGTGTACTTCAATAGAATATGCTGCGCGTATTGTTATACATACAAATCAGGTAGATACAAGTAATTTTGATATACGAAATTACGGTCAGTGCGCAGGTGAGCTGGTTAAAGTTTGCCATGATTATTTTAACCCGACACCAAAACAAACAAAAGCAGTTGTCTTTTTCTTTTTTTTTTTCTTTTTTTACAGTTGAAGAAATTGTAAGAAGGAAAAACTGCGTCTCTAGAGACGCACTAGAGACGCTGTCTGTTCGGGTAACTTTCTCTTTAAGTGTAAAAAAAACAAAAACAATCCTCTTTCTGTGCCAGTCTCGGGTCAAAATAATCATGATATTTTGATATCTCGAACGCGAGAAGGCACAAAGCCTATTGTAAACTTCGAACTTTAGAAGCAGACAGAACGAAAGAGAGAGGGGAATCCCGGAGACTGTATTAATTGGATTGTTTTTTTAATTTTTTTAATTTATTTAAAATTGTTCTCACTGCGTTTAATTTTCTTTCCTTTTTAATTTCGTCTTTTCAATCCTTCTTTTTTATTTCTCATAATTCCCTCACGTCCTTTTTGTCCTTTTCCAATTCCTCCAATAAACGTCAGTTGTAAGTAAGCGCTCATACCTGTCCCTTTCTTCCCATCCTAATCATTTGCGCTTTTTCACATTATCCCAGATACACCAACTCTTGCCGAAGCACAATATGGCCGTTCATTCCAGCGCGTCAGAAGAAGGACACTTCAGCGTCGCCAGAGATGTATTCCTTCAATGAAGCATGGAAACATAACGGATGAAAATGTCGAGAGGCAGCTACTGCTTAAGTGCAACGACCACTGAAAAGACAGCAACAAACCATGAAACGAAAGCAGTTGTGTACTTGGCCGTCAAACTAACGAGAAAAGTAACTCGCTACTTTTTTATTTAAAGCAACGCGTTCCTCTTGAGAATCGATAACGAGTAACGTATTTAGTTGCTTTTTGGGGGAGTTACGAGTGAGGCTATTTAGTTATTCTTATGGGGGTAACATGTACATGTCTGCTCGCCGGTTACAATCAGTGACGCCTAATTCTGAGTACGTCTGATGAGTGGGACTAAGAATGCATCCCCTTTGGATGTTTATGCTTTGCCTACAATGGGATGTTTGCTTGTGATGGCTTTGGGCCGCATGTAGCGCATTTTCGTCATGCTCGAGCCTGGTGCTTTTCGCACAAAATCCAGCCCATCAACACATTTTGTTAAAAAGCGCAATTTTAAAACTTGACAACCCTGTTACTCACCAAATCTTGGAGAACTTTAGATGCGTTGATGCCAACGTTGATTGAGATAACGACCGACTGCCGACAAACGACAAAAAGAGGGCATCCATTGCATTCGCGCTAGCTTTCGTTCTACCCACTTATCATTCCAACGAGTGCTCGGCGTTCTGAAGTCCATGCGAGTCCTCGTGTCCTCCTCTCCCTCAGTTTTCTGCGCATTGACATGTCTCGGTGTTGTAGGGACATGTCATGAATATAAAAATCTGCTGGGGGAAGTTCGTCTCAACATTTGTAATGCGGGTGTTAGCAAAGTCCATGCTAACACCCGCATTGTCTAAAGTCATTGTCCTCACACAGTCTTCGGTAATTTACTTTTGCAAAGTAATTAGTTACAGTTACAGATAGTTTGTCACAAATTTATGTAAGTTACAGTTGCGGTTACATAAAAATAAAAGTAATGCGTTACAGGTAAAGTTACTTCGTTATAGTAACTTTACCTGTACTTAATTTCAATATACTTTCGTTTCCTTATTTAAATTTAACTATAAAGACAGTGATGACAACACACGATGAGTACGATATATTTATATTTATTTGGAACTCTCAGAAAGCTGTCATCTCACTTTTGAGATATATATTTTTACCTCGTCAAAACTCAGCTTGGGCGAGATGGTTGAATTTATTACTGACTTTACAGTGTACAAATATCGCACACGCACTAGTATTTTGGACAAAGACGCAACATACACATCGTGCTGTGTGTAATATTTGTGCGCTGTGAAGTCACTAATATTTTTACCGTCACGACTTTATTGAATCAAAGCGTTTGGTGCTTCGACATAAGATGAACTAAATAACAAAATATTTAGCAACCGCCCCTTGCACCCGCTGCGGACGTGGTATTGTCCAGAAATGAAAGTTGAAACTAGCCCCGATGTGCTTGCGAAGGTTCGAAGAAGAGCACCTTCCGGCTGCGTATACTTCTTTTGCAATGTTTGCAGCGAGCATTGAAGTCCTCGCCACTATATTCGACAAGGCCAGAGTGCACTTCGTAGCCTGACCACGGTAATACTTGCCGTTCGTCACTTATGACAGCCTCTCGTTTGAGCGAAAACGATTAATTACTAACCAGCGATCGTCATTCTTTCTTGCGACGTTCTCTCTTCCTTCCTCTTTCTCTTAAGTGTTTTCTTATTCCCTTTCCTCAGCTGACACGAGAGGAAGATACCAACCAACAGGCGGGTCCATTACAATAATAGGAAGTGAAGCAGGAGGCTAAACCATTTGGAACTCACTAAAGTGGAAAAGACCGTTTGTATGCAACAAGTTAAAGGGACACTGACAGGGTATTTATGCTCGCCGAGGTTTTTAGTTGTACGTGACATATGAGAGCTCAACTACCCAGAACAGAATTTGCGGCTCGAAATTCGGTTTCTTTCCGCCCGAAAACTGCCGATCAAGAACTGGCCGGTTCGAGTCTCGCTCACTCTCTTTTCCGCGGTCACGGGCCGTTTTCTAAGGTATCGATGCGACCACCAAATTTAATCAAAGTCGTAGGTCACTGAAGGCACACACTCAATATTAAAAATATAAAAAAATATAAAACCCATTTTTTGTGGCTTCTAAAAAGCTGCAAATACGTTGATTGAAAAAAAAAGTTCCACAGACAACCGGAAGCATTCTGTGCGTGCGTCGTTTCGCGTATCGTGGGACTCGCAGGGACGGCGATGGCAGCGGACGACGGGCGTGGGACCTCTATTTCAGAACTGTCGTTCGCGGTACCGGCGAATTTTGTCTGCCTTTAAAAGAGAAATTTGGGACTGGTCAAAAGAATTGGTATTCATCCCGTACGACACGCCCGACCACCAAGCCGATTTGCACGACGACGTCGCCGAGCCGTCGCTCCCTTCTCGTGGCTGAAGACATCGCTCGCGCAAACGTCAAGCGCGACGTGTCTACTTCGAGTGGAATATGCACGCGTACGATTTCTTTACTAGGTGAGAATGTCGCGAATGCGTGGTGCATCCCGACTTCGACCCGGGAGTGCTTTTGCTAGAGGAAAATCGGCAGCAAACTTTTCAACTTACAGTTTATCGGCTAAATTATTACTAAGGAAAGAGATACCCCCATTTCGATATGCCCCAGTAGCTCAGTGGGAAAGACGTCCCCTTCACACGCGGTAGAGCCTGGTTCGATCCCCCGTGAAACCCTTTTTTTTTTTTTTTTCTCTAAATACTTTTGATGTCTACATTTCTTTTTTTTTTTTTTACAATTATTACTGAAGAAACAAAAACAAAAAATAAGAAACAAATTTTGTGGACGACACGTCGCTGAATTAAATGGTATGGGATTTCCTTTTTGACACCTGCGAACTCAATGTAATCACTTTCCACAAAATGCAAGGAGCATATAAATCAGGTACCGTCCGCTTCCCGAGGTGCCCGTAAATGGTCTACAGGAATTGCAGCCAGCCATTGGTCCCGATCCCGTTGATCTTTCGGAAACTCTGTCGCACAATGCCACTTCTGTTTCGGACGCGGGACATGTGAGCCAGCTCTTCACGCAACATCTTGGGTGTATTCTTTTCGGAGCCGATCAAAATTCACCACGGGCACTCACTACTCATCTCCAACTCCTCAATGTACAAAACAACTCATCTTGGAGTACAGAACAACGAGCGGAACAAACATAACTGCAAAAGAATCCCACGGCGAGCAGTTCCCATACGCCGCATGTCGTCTGCTACCGGGAAGGAGAAAAAAAAAAAAGAAAAAAAAAACACACGGTCGGGTGCAGCCACGTGACTTCCGCCACTCCACTCTCTTCTCTCCACTTCTCCGACCTCCGTCAGGTTTCGGTTTCGGTTTCGAGCAGTTGCGTCTTTTGGCTTTATTAAAAAAATACGGTACTCTGTTGCAAAATATTAATTGGGTAGTCCTCCGACACCATAATGAAGCGCCTGGCAAAAAATTAAAAATAAATATTGGGGGGTGTCAGTGTCCCTTTAAAGGGAAGCTGAAGAGCTTTTCGAAAAATTCAAGTTAATGGTTGATTCTGACGTGTTTGTTCCTGCTGAGTCCAAATATCACGACCGTTTGACCCAAACTAATCACTGAACACGAAAAGAAAAAGCGAAGAAAACAGAAGCGATCGCCGCAGCGGCACGTTATTGACAAGTCATGCGTGACGCAACACTACGTCGTAAACGGGACGTGCCAGTTCTCGCTTGCTCCGTGGATTCCGGAAGTAGTCGGCGCCGAGGATTCTGCTTTTGGGAATCGGGTTCGGCGTCTGGTTTTTCGAAATCTTTTGGTGGATCGGAAAGGGGAATATGTCCAGAGGACCCTCGACGTGACAAAGTGCGCGTTCCAGTCGTTAGAATCAGCGCAAATTACGACTAGTGCGGTTTGAGCACTGGTCCTAAACCTGTAAGTTTTAATTACTCAAACACTGCACTGTGCAAAACATAACCATCAATTTATGCGGTGTACGACGGAACAGGGTCGGCGTTTTTTTCTCTTTTCGCAAGGGTGTTGGTGGAAGGTCCACTCAACTTACCTTGGCACAGGCCGCCGAAGCTGGTGACACCATGGAAGTGCTGAACGCGTTGAATCAAAGGCCCGCATATTTTCTGCATACCCCCGCGAACCTGCAACAACGCACAAAATACGCAAATTACACAGGTTCGGCCAAGTCACGCAGGCCTCCCATCAACAAGCCTTATCTGAAATCTGTAGCTGTTTTGCTGAATTATGGGCAATTTTTAATATTCTTCGGAAAAACTAGCTCCAACAGAGAAAGCAGAACTTAAAGTGAATCATATCTGACCCTTAGTTTTCCTATATTCAAATTTATCTTCGTTTGTCGCTAGAAGGTATATTTTGTGAAATTTCGCACAATATGGCAACGCATGTCGAAAACACACAAAGGACAAACTAAAAAAAAAAATAACCAAACTCGCACCTACAAAGTTGGTTCGTCTGATATTTGAAAAGTTTATTTCGTGATTTATTATAGGTAGCAAGAACAAAAAAAAAAAAACAGGACAAGAGACGTCATTTTGCGTTGTTTCTGCCTATAGCATGAGGGAAGTTCCTGTATTGGATATTGCAAGATTTATTATGGTCCTTACGGCTAGGCAGTATCACGATACAAATGCATCACGATAGTACCTTAGAGATACGTTCGAGTATCTGTACCTTTGTATCAAGATACAATTGAAAAATATTTTTGCATCTCACTAGTGAAATATGTTTACAATGTATCACTTTTATAGCGACACTTCCCCCAACTTAGGTATCTTGTTACATTGGTTGTTCTTTTTTAGATAAATTTAAAAGAATAAAAAAACATCTGTCTAACGCAAGTTGCTTCGCAATGTATAATATGAACCCGCACTATAACAGGGTCCATATCAGTCACCAATATAAAAAAAAAACTTTGGTTTAAAGAAGGTTACTTGCAAGATTAACAAAATAAGCTCCTCTCAGAAAGCCCTGCACTGTTTTCAATTTAGCAGAGTGAACGCTGAGAAGGAGCTGATTTTGGGAAGATTTTCCAATTGGAAATTTGAAAATCGTCTCCAATTGAAGTAGAAGTAGAATCAGAAGTTAATCACGCAATACAAAGTTGATAGTGAGGACTGTGTGAGAGGTTTGTTCCTTGTGTGTGTGAAAGCGTGAGTGACAGTTTCTTGAGTGCGCTGCAACGTCGACCAAGATAAATATAAAGGTCGATGTAAGGGGTATAGCGCATAAAATGGCAGAAAAAAAGGGGCCCAATCATAAATTACCATGCGCCTTTGCCACAAACTGCACCCTCCCTACGTAGCACCGTTCGAGAACAAATGTATTTCTATAAGTATCTGTATCGGTATTCCGGAATAATTTTTCGCTGCTTTTTAAGAAGTATCTCAGAGATATCTCGTTGCATGAAAGACCAAATGTATCTCAGTATCTGTATTTCGGGCCTTAAAACACACGCGTCTCAGTATTTGTAGTCCTGCATACCTTGTGGAGTATCTTAGGCCAGTCGTGTACTGGTCCTGCATTTAAAATTGGTGATACGTTATTTCTCCGTTAATTATTTATATGCCTTTTTGTAGTAACTGTTCGTGAAAATTATAGCAGGCATTTTCTTTTTGTAAATCTAAAATAAGTAAGAAAATAAAGGAAGATTCATCGCTGCATCATTAAAGGGGCAGTCAAGTGGTTTTTGAGTTCGTGTTTTGATAATGACAGCTGAATTTAGACGCCTTGAGTATCCCTAAAAACCAAAAAGTAGTCATACGGTGATTATTTCTTTAATAAAAATGTAATTGAAGGCCGCCAAACCTCGGATCTATCCGAAAACGAAACCACTCTCATTGGTCGTCGCACGCTTATCAAAAGGATCTCGGGCCAATGGCGTTGGACGACGTTCCGTCGCGCAGTGATCCCGAGGTAGCCGCATCGGCCGAACCTCTTTGTCATTCGAGCTTCGATCATGGCGGAGTTCTCTACGCTCGAGGACCTGACGCCGTTAGAGGTTGGAGTTCTTCGGCGGACAGCCGACCTGGGGATGATTTCCTATGACGCCACTCCGACGTGCGATGTGGACGATAGCAGCGCTTCGGAGTCATGTTCGGGTTCCGAGGACGACGAAACGCAGACCTTTTCGGGCGTTCTTCGATTTGCGGTTGGGGCAAGTCGTAACCAAACCAACGTTTGACATCGCAGCGTTACCTCTGGTACGTGATGTCAAACGATGTCGCCACGTTGACTTTCGCCTCGGGAGAACGGGGGGAAGGTTGGTTCAGACATGTGCAACGAGCGCGTACCTACGGCTGCGTCCGTTGCAACCGGAACGACCGCACTCCGCCGCGCGTACACACACCTGTAACCACTACAACAAGCGCAGCGGGTCGTCAGCACGGCGACCGCTTCTGTACGCCGCCGTCAGCTGTGTCAGCGGCCGCTCTAAAAAAGGGGACGCACTGCTACTCAATGCCGTAACAGAATATAGACAGACATTTTTCTAGTCTAAAGCTTTATTATTTTTTCTTGATAGGCTTGCAGGGTACAGCGAATGAAAAAATAAAATAAAAAGATGCAGCGCCGTCTTGGACGATCACGACTCTAATACACGACATTGCAATAGAACAAATATCGCCACACGCCTTTTCTACGATTATAAAAGAGAATGTAATCTTAGCAGCGATATAGCAACGTAGAAATATGATTTCGTGATCAGATAGACGTTGCGAGCGTTCAGGATTGCTAACCCTAATAATTTTTCTCCGGTGATGAAACCGCGTGAAAATTCGTATCCTTTATACGGTACGCGCCAGTAATACCTTGAACTTGAGCACACGCATGAAATGCGCCAAATCAGAAATCCGGGCGATGTTCGAGGACGCAAATGCTTAGAAAGCACCACTGTAGTCGAAGTAAACAAACACGACGGCGCGGGCGTTTCTGCTATCTTGACAGTGCCGCCACGACATCGCCGCACGAGTAGGTGGATGTTCCCTTCTAGTACGTGCTGGGTTATCATAGCCAAACACGACGAAAATTCACAGTCAAGGATAGCGCTTTTACGCGGAACGATGAGCTTTCACCAGGCCGTCCATTCCGACGATCACCACCGACGCCACGTTTGCGGATAGAAGGAGCCGGCCGGCCTGCAACGCGCGGAGATACGTGCGCTTCCGCGCATCCCTGGGGAACGGGAAATTCACCCCCCGCGGAGGAAGGCAAATAGAAAACGTAGTTCCTTGTTTGTGAAACGATAATTGCGCTATCGCGTATTCTAAACTAGAAATATTTTACGTCTTGTGAAATTATCATGCACAACATATTTAAATGAACTGAAAATTGTTTTTTAGCGAAACTTTAAAAAGACCGCCAAAATTTTCAAACATACGATAATTTCATTGGTCCTCGCAAGTACAGAAAAGAGTCCGCACGTATTTTATTCCTGCGTGATTAATAGGCGTTTCTGCCTTCTAAAACTGAAGATACTCATTCACTGACACTTCCTTAACACCATCGCACCAAAAAGTAGCTTCTCCAAAAACCGCTTGAGTGTCCCTTTAAGGGCTAGCGTGACTCTTGGGAACGCTACACACATCCCCATTCGGAAAACGCTAACGCTGTCCCCGTCCCTTTTTTTTATATTGGCTTTCTGTTTTGCCCCCTCTATTTCTGGCCGCCTGTTTCTGGCCTCGTTACGGGGTCAGTGTTAGCGTTTTTCAAAGGGGGACGTGGGTGACGTTTCACAAGCGTCATGCTAACAGATTCCCTAAGAACCGATTAATGGATCTTCCCGTACTTTTTTCGCTCCCTTTTCTGTTCTCTGCCTGTCAGAGTATGTCGACGCCCTTGGAAACGATCATCCATATCACTCGAGGAAAGAACCGCATCCATACCACTGGTGGGAGGAACCGCATCCATATCACCCGTGGACGGAACCGCGTTCCTTGTTTTAACTACACATGCAAGCATCACAGCCCACGCACCGCTACTACCGAAACCCAGAGCGAAGAACAACCGGCGACGGCAGAGCGGCGACTGAGCACACACGCACAGTTGCGTCACAAAGGCGGGCCGGGGGGGGGGGGGGGGGGGGGCGGGGGCAGCTTGACAGCGAAACAGAGGTTGGCGGTCAGGGCGGGCCAAGAGAGCGGGTGCCATCCGTTAGCATGACTTTCGGGAAACACCACACACGTCTTCCTTTGTGAAACGCTAACACTCACCCCGAAGAAGGGAGCTGCTTAGGTGCCTCGCCGGCACCGAGGGCACCCCCTTCCCCGGGTTGAAGGAAAAACCGGTATTCGTCTTCCCGTGCGTGGTCGCATCCCCAGGAGACCCACGCAGAACGGAAATTTGTGGGGCAGCACCAGTGAGCAGCAAAAAGATACAAAGAAAAAGTCCGTTGGCGCGTCGGCCTTGGCCAGAGTTTGTGACAAACGTCGTCTTGAGCTAAAACACTCACGAGAATGTCGCTACGTTGGCGGCCGCCGTTACACGCACAGTCCCAGGTACGAAACCGCTCCGCCCGAGCGGTCTCGTACCTCCACTGGCCCAGACACTTTTACCTGTCGCAAATAGCAAGTTGCAGGTGATCGCTGCCCACCTTTCTGGGTTTTTACAGCAGTGGGCTGTGCGCACTTCTTGCAGGATAGCAACGTCGCCCTGAGGTAAAACGCTCACGAGAATGTCGCTGCGTTTGTGGTCGCCATTGAACACTCAGTCCCCGGCTCATTTTTGCGTTATTGGCTTTAGCCGTTCCCCTCGCGTCCACTTCCAGTGAAGTCTCACTCTAAAAAAAAAAGGTGTAATAGGGTACACCCATAGGGAAGTGTAAGTGCTTGTTACATATACTATACCCTCTGGGGGAATATTTGTACACCCCAAGGATGGGAGTGTGTGTACACCGGTTGGTGTGTTGCACATGTACACCTTTTTCTACACAAATCTCTCTTGAAGGGAACTCAGGTGTATCTCACTCATTGGTGTACGGCTACACCTCTTTCTACACCCAATGAAGTTAAAGTGAACACAGATGCACCTCCTTCGAAGGTGTGCCATTGCTCCGCTTTATACAGCCGCCTCACTCAAGGGAAACATAGATGCACCCCTTTCAATAGTGTATCCTTACTCCCGTTTC